TACATTCCTTGTTAGACGAAGAATGAGGGGAGACATGATCGAAGTGTTTAAATGGAAGATGGGTATTAATAAAGGGGATATAAATAAGGTCTTGAGGATCTCTCTCCAAGAGAGAACCCACAGTAATAGATTCAAATTAGACAAGTTCAGATTTCAAAAGGATATAAGAAAGTATTGGTTTGGAAATAGGGTAGTTGATGAGTGGAACAGTCTGCCTAGTTGGGTTGTCGAGGCTAAAACCTTGGGTAGTTTCAAATTTAGGTTGGATAAATACATGAGTGAGGGGTGAGATTTGAGTGAGACTTACATATGAGTGGATAGTTATCAGAGCTTATTTCTTGGGTGGCACTGACAATTGGGTTGGGCAAATATTTTATTAGTGGGATGGATTGTAAAGGACCTGCCTAGTATGGGCCAATAGGCCTGCTGCAATGTTCCTCCTTCCTTTGTTATGTTCTTATAATTTGAAATCGCAGTATTAGTGGAACAACCTAAGGCAAAACGCCGTAAAGCAGGGCCACATTGTACATAGAGTGTTTGTGATGAGACAGGCCTCTTCTGGAAGAAAAAGCCCAAGAGGACCTACATAATTTAAGAAGAAACGTCAATGCCAGGACACTGTTACTGTGTGGTAATGCAAGTGGGGACTTGAAATTGAAGCCCTTATTTGTTTATCCTTCCAAAAATCCACAAGCTTTTAAGAACAAAGTTATGAAAAACAAATTGGCTGTAATGTGGAGAGCCAACATGTAACAACTCTTTTTTTTATTATTGAGTGGGTTCATGAGGTCTTTGCTCCCACTGTCAAAAAGTACCTCATTAAAAAATAGTCACTCGGGGCCCTTTAACTCATGGATAATGCTCCTGCTCACCCTCCAAGCTTGGAAAACGAATTGCTGGAGGAGTTGTTTTATAACTGTGAAGTTCTTGCCTAACACCACTCCTCTCATCCAGCCCATGCACCAGAAGGTCATTTCTAACTTCAAGTGCTTTGAAATCACTTCACAAACAAATTTAACCCTTTCAGGGTCCAGAGGCCAAATTTCAAAGTGTGCACCAGTGTCCAAGAATTTTAAAAAAATAATTGTTATCTTTTCTTATGAAATGGTAGAGAATCTTTTTCTGAAGGTAATAAAAAAAAGTACAAAATTTGATGGAAAATTGACGAAATTATGCTCTCGCGAATTATGATGTGTCAGTAATATTTATGCATCGGCAATTTTGCCGAATTTGACTCCCATTTTAGGCCAATTACCTTATTCTAGTCGATTAAATTCTTAGCTATTTCACTAGTGTTACT